ATTAAATAAACTGCTAATTACAACACTGAAATAAAAATTTAAAGTCTGTACAAATACTAGAAATCATGAAATAACTGGAAATAAAAGAGAAAGTACATATTTCATTTATCTATAATAACTTTTCTGCCATTTTAGTTGCTTGGCTGTTTCCTTATAAAGATCAAGAAATTCATCAAGTTTTTCATCAGATGTGTGATGTTCTTTTTTAATAGGATGTCATTACGTTGCTGTCTTGCTTTGCATTGCTTATCATGGTCTTGTGTATCGATATATCTGCCCTTTCCAATGCACTCAAGAATATGCAGTAACCTCACAGAACTTAATCCAGATATTTTAATCAAATCCAGAAATTAGTTTGAAGAACCAAGCCAGAGATCAGTTATCACAATTAGATGATCTCACATCTGTCAAATCGTCTGAAGATGTATTAAGTGAGGTATGAAGAACGGGCCCCAGCACAGTGTGTTTACAGAAAATATAACCAACACATCAAAGCAACATTTAATTAACACAGCAGCACAGTTCATTATGACTATAACAGACCCAGTTGGACTTACAGAATGAGTGTCTTGGCATTCTCCAGCTTGAGATTCTCATGTTCCTCTGCAGTCTGAAGATATTTTCTGAGGGAATCCTTGAAATAAAACAGGAAAACAATGACAATCAATGAAATATAAATCAAAGCAGCAAATGAAAAATGGTATATTAATCCTGTTATTTTAGAGACAATCTAAGGTGAAATTCAAGCAATAACTTGCATTTAGAAGCCAGTATTCCATTTTAACAGCCAATTTTTTTAATTACAGAGGTAACTTTAAAGAACCTAACATGAGTTTTCTGTAGATCTTCCTCCAGTGATTTCTTTTCAGTTTGGAGTTTCTCATTCTCCAGGTTTTGCCTTTGCACGGTATCTGTGAAAACAACATGTTTATGAGCAACACAAATACAATGCAGTAATTCAGTGTGTGTACACTACATTGTTGGTTTCAGTTTTTATTATTTGTATTTAGACTGAAAAGACAGTTCACACACACAAAAAAAGTACATTTTCATTTACCAACCTTCAAGTTGCTACAAACTTTTGCGAGTTTGTAACCAAACCTTTGACGGTAGCCTCTGACTTCCATAGTATTTTTTTCTTTATTTCCATACTATGCACGCCAACAGCTACCATCAACTGATTGGTACAAACATTCTTCAAAATACCTTCTTTTGTGCTCAACAAGAGAACTATGGAAGTCGGTGGAAGTCAGTTTGGCGCACACTTGAGGGAAGGGAAATGACAGAATTTTCTGATGAATCGTCCTTTAATATGATCAGCAGTCTTGATCTATAGGCCCCGTTCTAATCTTAACCTAAAATAATTTGTGATGCACGTACCCTCTGCTTGTCTTAAGGATTCTTCAACTTTTTCTTTCCTGGGAAGACAGACAGACAAATACTATGAGCAGAAGACAATCACAAGAGCAACTAAACCACCATAATACTACAGTAAAGTGGTCTTACAGAGTAAGTGTTTGAGCTTTTTCAGATTTTAGCCTGTCGACATCTTCACACCTTAGCTGGTATGACTTCAAATCAGCCTGTTGAATTAAAAAAAACAATTTAAAAAAGGAGAAATTAACATGCACATATTTCCAGTCCAGTTGGAGTCAGCTTTACAAACGTTGTAATGAATGACTACTCTAACTTAGATTTTAGATTAGTCTTCCTACAGTATTGGTAGTACAGAGTGCCAACAAATTCAACACAAAAGTGCAGTCATTCAATTGCTTTAATCTCAATGAGTAGGTAGATAGTAAAAATTTATTTTTTAAGCATGCTCATGCCTCGTGGTAATGCAGCTTCAATTTTGAATAGTAAAAAAATTCACTTTTTTGTCAAAAATATATATATATTTTTTGTGAACTATCCCTTCAAGATAATTATTTGTTCACTAGTATAAAACCCATAAGAAATCATATTTACACTGTGGGAAACACTGGTAAATGTTTTTATTAAAATTTCACTTTTTAAATAAAAGTGAGAGTTTTTAATATGTACTAAAATTGGAAAAGAGAATCAGAGAATTTCACTGGTATTGGTAGCAACTGCTAAAAGTTTGAATTCTAGAGATGGTAAAAAATTAGTGCGTTTGAATACAGACCGTAGTTTTCTCCAGCTCTGTCTTCATCTGTTCATACTCCACTGTCTGTTTCTCTAAGGGCTCAAGCTTCAGCAACACCTCATCCAGCTGTTTGTGCAGTTTGCTGCTCTCTCTTTGAAAAACATCATGATGTTTTAAAGACATTCATTTAGTCGCATACTTAAATGCCATTCAACTATTTTTGCCCAAAATTACGATACTGTGCACATTAACAAACTTCTAAAGCAATACTAAAATGCAAATTACCTGTGCAAGTATTAAGGAACTTATCTGCCACTGAGCGTAAAGTACTTGTACAGCAGCATCCAGGCTTTGCATTACTTTAGTTACAACATGATAAGAAGTACAATGTCTTTGCAGTTGTTATGGGTATGCCATTTAAGGCCTAGGCTCACATGCATTGTGTATTCTCAGTCACCAGTTCTGGTAACAGCCTAGCACATTTGTACTGTAAATTACTTCGGTAAATAGCAACTTGTTAAAATATAAATGTCAGCTTAAAAATATTTATATTACACAGTGTGTAATATAACGGCAGTGAAACTCTTATCATCTTACCTCTGAGATTTCTGAAGCTGTGATGTTTTGTCAAGGAAAACAAAGATGGATCCATAGAGAAAAAAATAAATTTTCAAGCTTTGTGTTCACTGTGTTTAAAGCCAGTGTATAGGAGTTGTGTGGAGCACGTTGCAGAGTGTAACTGTGGTAAGGGATTTTTTTATTTTTATTAAAGGGGTCACATAGCATGATGTTGCTAAATAGAACATTATTTTGTGTATTTGGTGTAATGAAATGTGCTTATGCGGTTTAAGGTTCAAAAAACACATTATTTTCCACATACTGTACATTATTGTTTCTCCTCTATGCCCCGCCTTTCTGAAATACAT